AGTATCACATTTCCTTACCCTAAAATAGTTCACTCTACTCATCAAACCTCTACTCCCGTTGTTCATTTATCAACCTCTTTTGTCTCTATACTATAGCCAACCTTGTCTCCCACTATGCCTCGTAGATAGAAGCAACACCCTATTCTCCCCTCTAGTTACCACTTCCTTTGACCTCTGACCTCTTCCTCTATCTCGACATCCAACTCCCTCCCCCTCCTCTAATCCCAAACCCGACATCCTCCCCTATTCTAAGGCCCACTCTTAGGCTGCAACTCCCTTTCTTCCTACCATCTAACCCTCTTTAAGGCCAGTACATCCAACATTACAAGCTTCCCTCTACCCTCCGCACCATTTTCTGCCTCTAATCTGCAATATGCACCTATCTTCGTTATCTCATAAACGCTCTGCCCAGTCTCCCCAAAGTGCTTACTTTGGGCTACCCTTACTCAATACTTTGATCAATATTACCATAACTCAGGATTGAACAACCTTATCGCTCTCCCCCTCCAAATGTGATTGGCACTCAATGCTTTCCACTCTTCTGGTGGAGTCCTAACCCCTTTTCCCCCACCCCTCCTCCTTTAATACTCCTTCACATAACCACCCCTAACTTAACCACACCAACACATTCCGTTCATCCCTCCCCTCCAAACTGAACTACCCTAGCAGTAGAAACAGAGCTCCCTAATGTCTACTCAAGCTGGCATTACCACCACAATCCCTTTGCCAGGCTTCTCCTACGACGCCAACCGATCCCCCCCATAAGACATCAGGACGAGGATGACTTCCATTTAGACATTCAATCTCCAGTATTGCTGACCCCCAAGAAATAGCAAGGAACAACAGAGGCGAGCCTAACGTGGACAAATGCTTTGAGACATCAGGTTCCTCTATGACAACGCAATTTCTAATCTCACAATGGTGCTCAAGGAGCAGGCAAAACAGACCTCGGTAAAGAACACCTCCAGGGGAGGCAAGGGCACAAATGGGTTAATCAACCTTGTCTGTGATAGTAATTATGACCGGTCTACCCCCTTTCCAGACCCACCGCCCCAACCTAGCCTCCCTCTAGATCCTCCGCGAGGGAGGAATAGGAGGAAAATCCTCCAACCTCCCAACTATCTGAAATGAAGATCCAAGTTTGGAACATTAAGGGCCTGGGTAACCATCTTAAGAACAACGTAGTGACGGCTTCGATTCAGACCTATCAGCCAAAAGCAATTGCCATCATATGAACAAAACTCCCCAAGTCTAGACTATCGGAAGCAAGGGCAATCTGGGGGCAAAGGCCTTGCGAGTGGGAGGCCATAGAGGCGGTGGGTATGTGGGTTCTTTGGGACCCTACTCTCCACTATTTATCATCCTCTTGGTTAGATCTTTCTTCGTCAATCTCACTTTCCCTAAAACCTCTGCTAGCCTCCTATGGAAGGCCCCCTTTGTTCATGATACAAACTCCCCGATCCCTAGAAGGGACCATTGCTTGAAACTACAATCGTAATCTCCAACTCGTCGGTCCATTGAGCCCTTGAAGGAGACTTTAATGTAATCAGGTGGACCCAAGAGAGAACAAATGGAGGAGGTCTACACCCTGCATAAGAGATTTCTCAGACTTCATTGAAACAACTCTCTCCTCAATATTCCTCTAAGGAAGTTCTTATACATGGTCTAACGACATGGTAGACCCTCTCCTAACCAAACGTGATCACTTTCTACTCTCAAACACTTGGGAGTCTATTTTCCTAGGGTCTTCTCATGTGACTTACCTAAAACAACATCCAATCACAAGCCTATCCTCCTAGACACCCACCGTGCCCCAAGACCTAACAAACCTTTTACATTCAAGCTTCAATGGATAAAGGAAATGAAGTTTGCACAAACATTCACCAATGGTGGTCTTCCTTCAATGTCTTTGGTTGGGCAGGATTCAATCTCACCAAAAAACCGTAACTCCTTAAATTCTCTCTCAATCTTTGGAGAATTCCAACCCCAACAACCCCAAACTTCTGATTTTAACACTTAATTCCAAGTTTCTAGAATTGGATACCTTAGTATAATTCAAGCCTTGGTCCGAGACCGAACAGGCTCAAAGAATTGAAGCCCGAACCAATCTCTTTTGTAGCCCTAAAACAGAAAGACATCTACTACTACCAAAGGTCTAGAATCAATTGGCTCAAACATGGAGAAAGTCATGTTGGGGTTTATGGCCTTTAAAGGGTTGGAGAGCTTGTAAAAAAAATGATATTTATAATTGATTATGCATTGCAATGAGAGTGCGTGTGCTGATTGACCAAGTGTTGGGCGGTTGGCACGTAAGCTCATCAAAAGTGCTTGAAATGGCCTTGGTTATATCCAAAACCTTTACCCCTGGGCATGTGACACTACCAAGAAGGGTTTACATTGGGTCATCCCTTGTTGAGGTCGGAAAGATGCCCAGGAATGATGTTTGTAGGCCACAAAAACTGTGTAGTCTCTTGTGTGCGGTTGTAGACCTGTGAGAGCAACAGCCAAAACCTCAGCAAACTTCCACATGGCATGTACATATGACAGCTGCTTTACCAGAAAGCATCCTTATAAAAGGAAACATGTATATGTGCATAGAGAGGGCACCTATTGTACTGTACAACAAGTGCTAGACTTGCTCTTAAAGAGGGGAACAAAAATCCATATTCCAAGATCAAGGTTCCACTCATTATTGAGCTAACTTTGACAAGCCCTACCTTATAACCCAATTACTGTACAGGGGCTACTGAATTTTTTGTACCGAGAGTCCCGTCTAGAGGGATCTCCCGAAGAAACTTTATACTGTACTATCCTTTCTTCAACAATACAAAAGTTCACATTATCGAACAAAATAAACTTTGACAAGCCCTACAAAAAGCTGGTCATGGGTCTTTGTTGAGTTGGTTTGAGAAGATAGTTGTGAATCGTAGTGGACTTCCCTTATAATCACTTATTTTGACCCATTGGTACATGTTCACTTCTAAATATTCTAGTTTTGGTATTATAAATGTTTTTGTGAATTTTAGAAATTTTTCAGTTTTTTTATTTATTTATGTTGTAAAATTTTTGAAAAGGGTATTTTTCAAATTTTTAGAATAAGGAAGGGCACATGTGGGGTCCTTGGATCCAGCCCCACATATCTACCACCCTCATATGGGTTGGACGTGTAGCCTATGGGGCCCGCTTGAGGCCCATAGGGGTGGCATGCCCACTTATTTTTAAGTGGTATTGTTTTTTTTTTTGAAGTTAGTTATGTCAAAATAATCCTTTAAAAGAGAAGATTGTGTCCTAGCTTTGTGGGAGTTTGTTTTGACTAAATAAAAATTATCTTCGACTTCCTACAAATTTAGAAAAAGATAATAGGAAAATATAAATTGGAAATAATCCGATTAATTTAGAAGTTGGACTTGGTTCAAATTATAAAGGGATAATGTTAAAGCTTCCTAATAATCCTCCCAAAATTATGATGGTTGATTTGTGGGATGGATGGCTCAGATTTGTTCTCTCACCCCACAGATTTCCTAAATTCCTATTGGTCAAGCTATGTCATTGGATCAGTAATACCTAAAGAAGGAATTCTAATCCAAATAGGAGAAGGAATTCTTTCTATTTAAACACCATTGAGCCCCTCTCTCCCTATATACATATTTTTCTCTACTCCATGCACCAAATCTCTCACGAAAATTCCTTGTTTTCTCTCTCCTCCCTTTCAAAAAGGGTCATATGCAACCTAAAAATTGATAAGATAAGGGTGGCACATTGAAACCCTAATTGGGGTTTTGCTGTTTGGAGAAGAAAAAAGGGTATACCCAGCCCTAATTCATTCCTAAGGGTTCCTACAAACCCTAGTTAGGTCTCCATGCTCTCTAAAACCCTAGAGTAAGGGGGATTGCCAATGAAATCTTCCCATCTCTGAAATTCTAGCAAAATTAAAAGGGGCAAAAGTATGCCATCAGTCAAGGAATCGGGTGTGGCGTGTATCAAGTACTGTGGGGGTAGCCCTAGGCATGATCAAGTAAGTCTTCCAGGCTGTTTTTATTTAACTTCAGTCATATATGCATACTTTCTGTATTTTCCAGGAACAGCGAGCAATCGGAAGCCACGAAGGAATAATCGTCTTGCTTAGGAGTGGGGCCTTCTCGTCTTTATGGTACTTAAATTCATACTCAAAGACTGGATATTATTCCTGGGTTGTGTTTAATTTACTTTGGAAATAAAAAGAAAGGTCCTAAGTTGTATTCATGGTTTTATTTTTAATTTATGGCACTGTTTTGTGGCCCATGTAAATGGAATTCAGGTATATAATTAAAGTTAAAAAGGAAATTTTTGCATTTATTACCTTAAGTTCCACATAGCCACAACTTTCAAGTCATTCTCTCCTCTTTTTTTCTTTCTCTTTTGCTACCCATGCCTTCCTGAGCACCCAGACTGGGCTGCCCACAAGGGGCATGTGGTGTCACCATACAGTCAATCATTATCTAAAAAAAAAAGATAAAAACTATTGAGCAAATGTATGGAAATGCATAAGATATACGGCAGACACCATCCAAATTAAAATGCGACCAGTATCTTCCCTGATATGATCAGAAAATTTACCACATGTATGGTTAATAAAGATCCAACTAAAAATCGATATAGCAAGCTTGTTCCACCAAAAAGTAAAGCCCCAAGCAATTGCTTTGAGTGACAAGAGACAATCATATAGAAGGCTAATCCAAGGTCTATAGACTCCAGCAATGACTTGACAAGAGATGATGAGCAGAAAGAAGTCGCACATGGAAAGTTTAAGCATCCATAATTCACAATAAAGAACACAACGAGGTAAACGAAATTGCACCTCACATTAGCACCCTTCCAAATTCTTAAGATTCCCATATCCATAAGAAATATGTAGAAATTGATTACTAAAACCAGTCAATATGTAGAAAAATAAAAGAAAACAACAAACTCAATTACCATAACCAGTAAAATATAGTCCAAATTAGGAAAGAAAAAAATACCGGAGCATCCAAAATTGTAAATCGTGTAGTCTCTGTTTCAAAATGTGCTCGTCCAACCTCCACTGTCTTTCCCTGTGATAACAAACAGACCAAGGTTTATTTCTAACTGCATAATTACAGAAAGGGGGGGGAGGGGGGGGGGAAGGATAGAGAGAGAGAGAGAGAGAGAGAGAGAGAGAGAGAGAGAGACTGTTGCACTCCGCTAGTAGAACGACGAACTAAACTTACCGTACGGACTAACTAAACTACTAACGAAAAAGTAAAAACGTAAAACGTAC